CTCTCTCTCTCTCTCTCCTCTCTGTCTCTCGTCTTTCCGTCTCTCTTCTCTCTCTTCTCTCGCAGGAGGATCCGGGCAAAGAGCCACATATAAAGGACTCTTCACCCCTGCCTCCAAAAAGAGCGCCGTGTTTTTTCCTACCTCGCTGCCCTCCACTTTCCCATTCTGGAGCGCTAGCTTTCGCCCCCCCCCTTGGCCTCAAGTTGTTAAGTGTTGCATTGCGCTTTTAAGCGCTTGGGTGTCTCCAGCTATGTTCGGTAGGTTTCCACACAATGAATGCGGTCCTTGATCTTGTTTGACTGTTTCGGAAATAAAAACAATAGACAGAACACCAACGCCATGTGGTGTCTCAAAATTGATTGTCACTCAGCAAAGTTGATTGTTTGGGGTTCCTAGTATACCCAGTAATTCTTTTTGTACATTTCCTTCGCCTGTCGCGAATGTTTTCGGAGGCATTCTTTAGAACGGTCCTAAACAGAGAAGGACTGAGGGGTCACTGTGAGTGCAGACTTATAACTATTACAGGCCGGGATGTTACTTGTTCCAAAAGAGGAATACGAGTTGATGCGAGTGTATTTTCTTCATTTGAACCCTGTTACTGTAATTAGGTGCATGGGCAGAGGCCACTGGACCTCCACTCGGCCTATGCAAAGTGCACAAGGTCGCCCTTGGTCGCCCAGCGGTGGAACAGCTGAAGAGCTGTTCCCTGCATATCGGACCGTTGAACCTTCCAATTGTGTTTGTGGGTTGCCGGCTCTGAAAAGCAAAGACATGATGTGCGAAATTGAGGCCGTTGCAAGGATGCGGTTAGTAGGTGCTGGACTCTTTTTGCTCCTTATTGAGACAGTAGAGGAGGAACACATGGTGAAACGGCTCCGTGGGGAGACTGAGCAGCTGCCTGAGAAACCACACAATCCAAATGGGGAAGGTGCAAAACCATTGCCGCAGAGATTCCGATTAGCAGTTTCAAGTTGTGCGGTTCTTACTGGAGGCTAGATGTAAGAAGAGCAATGCAGCAAGGCAAGGCAAGTCCTGTAACTCCTGCAGCTCTCAATGACAACTTGGAATGTCACATTCTTGCTTGGAAGCTGGAGCTGACAGAGACAAGAGATGGTGCAGCGACATCGTACTTCGTAATTGTAGTCTTGGGGGTGAAGGTTCATGTCCGCCGCAGGCGCCGGAACACAGCTCTTTTAAGGTTTGACTCTGCCTGCGTTGCTCGTTGATCCTGGAGTTGAGAAGATGGGGCAACAGCTTTCCATGTGGCAGCTCAATGTGTCCACTTGCAATTTCTGGATTTGTTGCTCGAAGCTGGAGCTCGATGCAGCAAGAAGGGCTGAGGAGGGATCATGTATTGATCTTTTGATGCTCCAAGCATCATCCAATGACAGGTGCAGCACTTACTCCGTCACTCAAGTTGTATGCATGCTGGCACGAAGTAGCTGAGACGAAGCCGCTATAGCGAAGAGACGCTCGCTCAGCGGCCCTTCTGAAACAGCTTCATTGAATGGCTACTTGGAAGTGGCGTGTTTGTCGCTCGAAGCCGTGGACATAGATGCAGCCCAAAACGATGGAGTCACGTGTTTGTGACATGGGTATGTTGCAGCCTTCCAATGGCTGTCAACTGCCGTTCTGAGCTTCACACCAGTCACACCAGTGCCCGCTGTTGCCCAGACTGCTCCGGCAGTCGGGGCCCCGGGGCAACAGCTTTGTGAAGCGAAAAGCACGTCCACTTGGAGGTTGTCCGATTGTCACCAACCATGTTTATCGGTGCGTACTCTATCATGATGTGCATGTAACAATGTAGCTTGACAAAGAAGACATGATAGCAAAAACGCGGCTGTCGATGTTAAGGCTGAACATGGCCACTTGGACGTTGCGCGTGTGATGTGTGTTCCTTCTTGTTTCTACAAGGTGCGAGGCAACGGGTTCATGCCAATGGCTGGTACCTAGCTTAGCAAACTGTTCAGTGTCACCTTGTAATTTTGCCTTATATTAGAAGACCTCTATAAGGTTCATTTGTTTTAGATCTTTGGCAGCCACTCACTGGTTGAATTCCCCAACCGGTTCCACCTTCAGAGCAAACGCGCGCACATCGCGCGACACAGCGCTCAGCCACCCCAGGCGGCCGTGTGACCACGTGGGGCCATCCACTCTATGGCGGGGATAGCGGTGCAGTGCAAGGCGGAAAGGGCGGACACGCAGTGCACGGCGCTTTGTTTGTTTGGTGACGAGGTCGGTGTTGGGCTGGTGGTTTTGAGGAGGAAAACGACCGCCAACCAAAGAGTCCACATGCCGTTGATCTGGAGAAATCACGGTTTACGACCACGCAACCACTCCGTGATTTTCCCGGTTGGGTGATCCTATCGTGAACCCAGTGGTGCTCTGTCACAGAGCGTGAAAGTGTTTCACTGGGTCGAATTGGAGGTTGAAGAAGCACGGAGTTGCTGTGGTTTTTCCTTTGGTCACACCTTTTGCTGTTTGATCTCAGAACCATTGGACAGAACTGTCCAACCATTCCAGATCCACCCGAAGTCCCGGTCGCCAGATCCGCCGAGTTCCGCGCGAGACACCACGCGATCGGGTTGAAGAGGTCAGCTGTCGAAGGGCGTCGTGCAGATTCAAGCGACCGAGCGCGCCTTCTGCGCCATCTTGGAGGATGGAAGCGTCGTCACCTGGGGTCACAAGGACCGAGGAGCGACCGACTGAGCGTCTTGCTGCCTGCGGCGTCGGAACGCGGTTCCGGTGAAGCATGTCAGACAGATCCGCCTTCGCTTCGGTGGCGGCCCGGGTGGCCCGGGTGGTGTTCCGGTTTCTCGAACACGTCAATAGACCCTTGATTTCGTGCCATAGTTTACCTCATTCGGATTGCAAAAAACACGTCTTCTGTTTTGTTGTGTTTTCCGGATGGAGATGAACAGCTTTAGATGAACGGCTTTAGATTCTAGATGCTCAAGTCACTTGAAGTCCTCAAACCGTTTGCTTTTATGGAGATCCGAGTAGGCAGCAGCCAGACGCCAGACCCGGTCGGGTCACTGTGACAGGCCCGGCCCACCACATGGTGGGAAGGAGATAAAGTCTAGATCGTCCAACTATGCAACATGTTCGCCTTATAGTTAAAACCTGCCAAAAGGCAGAAATCTTGCAAATAGTTGCAAGATCTATAGGTGTGTTTGGTTTGGGCTCACTTGCTTTTAGGCCCCAAAGTTTTTTCGGCGTGTTTTGGGCACGAGAGACGGCGAAGAGATTCTTTTCAGGGCGACAGGAATGTAAATTCAGAACCTTGTGAAGAGGTTCTCCCAGATCTTTCTTTTGCGTTGTTCGAGAGTGGAACCGGATTATCAAAGGTGAAACGTGGTGAAACATGTTTTGTTCAGCATTGAAGATGAATGAAACAGAATCCTTGGACCTTGTTTCATTCAAGAAACCCAACCATCCCTGGAATTCATTTGAACAAATCAGAGACTCAGAGCCAGAGCCCACTGGAATGTTCCACATCGTCAGACCGGACCGAACCCGGCATGAGTGGCCTGGCGTGGCGAACTGCAGCGGGGCTCCACTCCCAGATTCCACTCCCTAGGAGGTCTGACTGGAGACCCACAGATGCAAAGCATATGGGTCCTGAAAACCTCATTGGCGTAGTGATGAAGAGTGTTGGAGTAGTGATGAGTCGTATGTAATTTCGCGTGTTTGTATATAATGATCCAGTGAAATGTGCTCAGTGACCGCCATGAATCGAATGCGTTTTGCTTATGTGTTTTCACACATTTTCACACCTCGTCCCCTCTTCTGCGGGTAGAGCACCGGTCTTGTTGCACCGGTGACCACTTGTCATGTCGACCTGGGATCTTGCAGGATTATGGTGGTGAAGTTTCCGCAGATCTGAAGAAAGAACTTTGAGCCTTGACGGAGCAATGGCCCCCCGCGTGTTATGGGCCGCGTGTTCGGTGAAAGGGTGTGTTCGCCGCCTCGTGTGATGGGCCGTTGCTCCGCGAGGAGCTGCGGAGGGTGATTTTTCAGACACATCCAGATGTAGAGAGTAGCCAGCTACAAAAGTCCCACTGCACTGAAGCCTTACTGCCTTACTGCCCTGAAGCCACAGCATGACACATTTTGGGGGCTGGTGAGTGGGTTGGTCAATTTCACTGACTGCCTCAATAGTAAACCCATGTAAACCACCACAACAAAACACAATTCGGCCATTTACATATTAACATATCACATGCGAAGATATGGCATGCAAAGTATGCGGGCGATATTTCTTTGGTGTGAATAGTTGGGAGCTCATGAATTTCTTGAGCTGTTTAGATTGTCCTGGGTAGCCAGCCACATGAGTAGCCATGGAGCAGATAGCTTTTGAAGCCATTTTGCTTTGGAGCTAATCACTATGGTCATGGAATGTTTGGACTAAGTAGCCAAGGCATGTAGCGCACATTGGTTTTAATCGATGTTGAACTTTAAAAAAGAACTGAATGCTTACGTATTGTCATAACTTATTGCCCATTTTTGTCATGTGCCCAACAATCCGAATCAGGTGAACCCCATCGCCAAAAGGTTGGAGATTTGGAAAAATAGCAGTTTTGAATTTGTATATATTTTTGGGCTTTGGGGTTTACATACCATTGTTTGAGATTCGCAGGCCTTTGAACATCTTAGAGCTATGCTATAGTATTCCTTATTTTTTCCTTTCTGATGGATGGGGGCACAGCGAATGTGAATCCTTTTCACTGACATGTTACAGCATGTTGTCCGTCCCTATCTAGCTCATTCAATACACCGCAAAGCCAAACAAAAAGTTAAGAGGAATTTGTGTGATTGCTTCACTTCCCCCAATAAAAACGCCTCTGTGTCCACCACAAATTCCTTTGTTGCCGCTGTCCCCTACCACGCGTTCCGGTTGTTCGCTGCCACGGCTGGTGGGTTCGCGTCGCAGCTGCTGCCGAGGCCATGTGCATCAGGTGCCTTGGTTTTGCTATGTTTTGTGTGTGTGTTGTTTTTTTTGATGGGGGGGTTGTTTCCCATATTTTCCCCAACTGGGTCAATCCCCTAAGCTGGGGAATGCCCTCCGTGGAACTAACATGGAAGTGGAAGATCTGTTTGATATTCGGAAACAGGTCTTCCAAAGACGGAGCCGGGGGGCCCAGCTCCAGGGAGTGTAACTTCAATCTCTTCATGGTCCAAACTGCCAATTGCTAGTATCTAGGGTGATTGATTTTCCCTATGGGTAAATATGGTATATCCACCTGGTTTTAAACAGTATTGGGTTATTCTTGCTTTTCCTTGTTTTTCCCTATGGGTAAATCCCCTAACCTGCTTGTAACGAAAGGTTGTCTTTTTTTTTGCCGGCCTCCGAACGAAAGCAGCCCTCCCCAGGTGCAGAGCACCAAGGCGGCCTTTGCGGCAATCCTGGCCGATGGCCGGGTCGTGGCCTGGGGCAGCAGCACCTATGGCGGTGAGATCACCAAGGAGCAGGAGAAGAAGATCAGGCCGAATCCGAAGAGCACGGTGGTGTGAACTTTAAGGGACTTGAAAGGGATGGTTTAAAGGGAAAGACATGTGGAAGACAGGCAGTTCTGCCATTACAAGTCACAAAGTGCTTTGTTTTTTTGTGTGAATGTACCACCATTCCTATGCCTGTGATGCTTCTTTGACGTCCTTTTGGCAACATCTTGGATGTGTCAGGTTGATTATGAGAAGAAAGACTGCAACATCCACTCTAACCAGGGTTTTTTTGGGAGCCTAGGACCCTCAGCAACTCCTGTGGCACACGCCAAGGATCCAAGCACTCGTACGTTGTTTGGACCCTCGTTTGTGCCTACATAAAAGTGCCGATCACCTCACCCTCTCAAAGGGTATGTGGATCGATAGGGACAGTAACATGGTCTATTTGGTGAATCAACAAGTCTCGCAGTCGATATTTTCACCAGTGGCATGTTTCGAGGAAGTTGATGTTCGATATGCCTCATAGATACTCCTTGGGACTGGAATTACAACGACCGTTTTTTCACTACCTACATGGTGGACTGGTCGGGCTCCAGGTTGAACGACCCATACCCATACATCTACATAGACCCCTTTTCAACCTCCTAATGTAAATGTGCCAGTCCCATTTCTCTGAGCCTGGTGAACTGCTGAAGGGCCAGCTTTGACCTGCATCCAGCTGCCAGCAATGGACTTCGATGGTTGTGTATGACAGATGTGACTCAGACATGTCTGTGGACTATAGAGTTTACAACTACCCCCTCAGTTGGCTCCTCAGTCATTCTTCAGTGGTAGGCAGTGATTTGGAGCATACATAAGAACGCAAGCCAAACAAATCCCTCCAGTGACTTGCGAGAACTGGTGCATGTCTGCACCCTTCAGCCAGCTTGTTCTCCCAGCACAACCTGGCTTTGCTTAGGGGTGGTTTCTATTTTACTTATGGGGAATTCCCTGCTTTGACAGATTTCTTTATTTTCCCCTGTTCTTGGCAAATCCAAGACCACATGGGGGGTCCCATCTGGCCAGGAACGTGCAGCTGATCCAGTCCAGCCATATGGCCTTCGCCGCGCTGCTGTCGGATGGCAGTGTGGAGAGTTCCGCGGCCACGTGTCCAGACCCTCCATGTATATGGCATATTTACATATAAATCCCTTCCTGAAACCACGAGGGTTCGGCTGTACACGCGGAATCCGGATCGGTCGTACACATGAATTCTTGCTTGCTGTTCTTGATGCCCAAGAAAAGACCAGCTAGCAAGAGGCCGGCTGCTGTCGAAGAGTTTCCAGTTAGAGCGCGTTCATGATGGTGCGCCGTGAACGTTAGTTAGACGAGTTCACGAAGGAGTTGCGGGCATGGGCTTGCACTTCGACTCCTGGTAAGCATAGGGTCTCACAAGAACCTCTCGACTTGGCGATGCTCGGTTGTACTACAGGTTTTATTGCAGAACATGCCGAATGCGCGTGGAGAGGTGTCGGAACATGCGACCCAAGCAGCAGAAGGCTTTTGATCCGCGCTGCTGGCAGTGAGACCCACAAGTTGTTTGAGAATTTGGAGCTTGCTTGCCTCAGAATACTTCAGACTGCCACTTCATAAACACTTTTCGGAATACGGAAAATGGTTTCCCTGCACTTGGTCGCAAATCATTTGCTGAGGCTGTCGGGCAACACACATCTGAGAATGCTATGGGACTTACAGATTTGTCCAAGAACACGATTCGCCCTTCTACTGTCGCGCAAGAAAGTGAAGCTGGATGAAGCTGGTCAAGTAGCTTTTGACAATGACCAACGAGACATGATTGCGCCTATTGTTTTTCAGCTGCTTTGGCCCGATGAACGCACATCTGGAATCTTGGGTCTCATTCTGTTAGTGTATGCGACGTGGCTGCTCGCTGCACTTGTGCACTGTTGTTTGATCTCTGCTTGATTTCCAGACTGTTGCTTTTGATAGGTATATATAGACAAACTTCTCGTGCGAGCTCGGTCGAGTTTTTGTAGGACTGGCGCATCGGTTGAGACGCTGGACTTGCTCGGAGGAGTCAATGCGTTCAATACCTGGCGCCTCAACCCATGCAACTCCACAGGAGCTAGCGAAGTGCCTGGACAAGTGGGTGCTGGTTGAGATGGTCCCTTCTGTTTCAAGTGCTGGCGGACACCCAGCGAAGCCTCAGATAACATCCTGGCCTGCCATGGTCTCGGAGTTTGTTGGGGCTGTCACGACTTCTTTGTCTGTGGTGCTGGATGCCATCTAAACACATGCTTTCTGGACACAGGATCAAGCACTCTGTGCAAACAAATTGTTTTGACACACGTGACACTTCAGCCGTCAATCTGCAAGTCCGTGTTTGTATCATGTGTTTTGAAATACCTTTGCACGCCAGAGGAGTGATTCAGACGCGGACACCTTGGGCCTGTGTGACGCACGGAAAGACAAGAGGCCGAGACTCATCCTCTAAAGCTGGCGATGTGCATCGCGTGATAGCAGCTCAGGAGTCCATGCTCTCTTAGAAGCATGTGAGGTTCTTGAGATGTTTCTGAGTTGCACTCTCTCCGGAAGCGGCGAGACACCTTCACTGAGCAAACACAGTAGGGTCATTGATATTGACGTTTAGCGGAAGGAGCGTGGTCGTGGCCATCACAGAACGCTTCCCCACCCCATCCCCCCCCGTCCCCACCCCATCCCCCTCTGTGAGTGCAGATGATCCAGATTCAGTGTGCGCAGCTGATCCAGATCCTGTGTGCGCAATGATCCTGATCTGTGTGCGTGGATGATCCATTGTTCTTGAAACCACCCCAATGTATGTATATGTATTTAAATATATATATATATATATGTACTATTTACTATATCGTGTATTCCTTACATGGAGTGTCATGATGTGGAATAATTACCTACATGATCTTACATGACGGTCGCATTGGGGTGATGATGCGTAGCTGTATGGAAAAGTTCCTCCGTACATGGAAGTTCTGTGTTTGGGTGGAGGTTTCGACGTTGGGATCGATTGATGAGATCGACAGTCCGGGGAGTGCCCTATAGCTCTGAGAACGTGATGTGTTCGACATTCTTACCTTGTTTGGAGGGTCCAGGCGTACCCAACCTGAGAAGGTATGTGGGTCCTTAGGGTTGGTCATATATTGCCATTTTAATAGGGGGACTTCCCAACCAAATGGCTTTGGCCTGCTTTTGATGTTCCCAGAGGTCTTTGAGTGGTCACCCTATTCTACTACACACCCAACGGTTCACCTTTTGTGGCCGAGTGTTTCGGCAAACTTCACTCACGATCGGATCCTGGGGTGGTCGTCGATGCGAGATAACTACCCAAATACCTGAAATGGGATTGATGGATATTGATTGACCCCTTTTCAACCACCCCTGGCCTGATTCGGCGAAGATGGCAGTCCCATGTGTCATGTCTGAGTTTCTATTATGTATAGCCGTGTGATTTCGGTTGGTTCATCGCACGTTCGTATGCGTTCGTTATTGTTCTACCCGCGCTGTAAAACGACGACGACGACGGATCGAAGGTTGGGGCAAGATCGACGACGACGATTTTCTGGGTCAAGGATCCATGAGCGCCTCTTGGACATCGACGAGATCGGACATCGGACATCGCATTAACCGTTGGTTCATCCTTTCATATCCTCAAGATGGCATTATTGATATCCTCAAGATCCATTCATATCCATTCATATCCATTCATATCCTCAAGATAGCAAAGGTTGGGCAGATTTGATGCGATCCGCGTCTTGGGGCAAGACGTGCGACCTGAATGCGATGTCCTCTCTGTTTTCATCACCTGATGCGACCTGATGCGACCTCGTCCGTCTGTCGGCGTCGGCGGCGGCGCTGTCGGCGTTTCTTATCTATTTGAGATTGGAAGTGGAAAGGTCCCAATTTTGGGGGTGCACAATCCGTCCACCTGCCAGAAACCATGGGAGTAACTGTTGTTTTTTTGCCTGGCTGCTCCGCAAATCCCAAGCTGCCGATGGATGTTCATGGTATGGTAATTCTGAACTTCACCACAACAAGGGGCGTTCTTAATGCATTGTTTGTGTTTCTTTTTTGCTGTCATGTCCCATTCGGCGTGGGTTGGAGGAGTGGACGTCCGAGGATGTCGGGCGTTTGAAGTAAAATGACTCTATAGGGAATAGAACGTTCGACAAACCAGACAATCCTTCTCCAAGAATTGGCCCCTTTCCATAGCAGTGTTCTTTTCTTCCTCAAAACCCCGTCCTGTTTTTCGGGCCTTCCCATTGAGGATCCGGATTCTGAGGGAAAGAGCTTTTCACTTCCAGCCAATCACAGCCGATCGAAATGAACATCCGTTGCTGCCCTTCGTCTAGACGTTTGGTTCGCTCGGTCCGTTCCAGAGTTGGTGTGTCCGACACAGCGCGTGAAGAGGGCGCGCGGTGTCGATGGTGCCATTGAGGAAGGGAAAACATAGCAGGCGAGGATGGCGAATCCTCCAGCTTCCCTCATGTGGTTGATCAACCATGACTTACCACTGATACCAAAGCCTAGACACAAAAAATGGGACTGTCATTTTTCCTAATTACATGTGTGGATCCAGGGTCAATGGGGCGGCACATATTCCATAGATGGAGTGTTTCAGAATGACACAGACGGAATGTCACCAAGTTCTCTCTACGAACTCGTCCATGTCCTGGCCGCGCATCTGTGTCGCGGAACGCGCCTGAGGAATACTCCGATGGCAGCTCTTTGTGATGCCGCATTCGGAATGACGGAAAAAACGAGTGCATTCGACCGGCCTACTGCTGTACCTCCCCGACTCAATGTAAGATCACATGGGTATTCAACCAGAAGAAGCATATGGGACTGGCATATGTTTCTGCATGATCGGGTGGTTTCAAGGATCGATAGGCATGGCATACATGGATAATGGATTCTAGATACAGTATCACTCAATGGAGATCCACGAATGTAAGGGCCTTTCATTGGATGACCTTGTCGAAGGTGATATGTTGTTCTTGTTCTTGTGAAGCACAATCATTCACTCAAGAACTCGGACCTCTTCAGCTTCCTTCAAGTATAGAGTCCACCTCAGTTTGTGCCCCTTTCTTCAACCTGGTACCCCTGAAGAGTAATAATTATCACTCCAAATGATCACCTGTTCAGGTGTACCCAGGAAGGAACCAAGCTCTGGATTCACTTCTGGCCACCCGTCCACCGCGGGGAAGCGTTCCGCGAAGCCTTGAGCTGGAGAGCCATCGAGCCGGAGAGCCATCCGAACAGTGGCTAGGTGTGGTTGTTCTTGGAGCCATCAGATTTCTGGTTGTGTTTTAGTTGGTGATGTTTTTCGGCAGCTGTTGTTCTTCTTGTTTTCCAAGAGTTACGAAATGGGATCAATGCCCACCTGAACAGATTATTTTTAACTTATCATATGAAGAGCTTACCATCAAAGAGCTGTATTTTTCCTGGAAAAAGGATCAAACAGATACCTGCCTGGACAGATGCCCAGATTAAGCAAACTCTGCAGAGATACCTTAAGCCTGCCTTGAGCCGGTTGATTTGTTGGCCGGCAGGAGTCCAGTCCAGCATCATCCCCAAAACTCTTTGGGCACAGTGTCTTTGAACTCGTTGAACCACCAAATGATTGAGATTTGGAAATACCCCAGACCAACAGAGGTTGAAAGACCTGAACGTTCGGACCCTGGGCTTTGGTACATATGGGATGGGCGACCAGACGGGCTGTTCAACCTCTCTTGGGACACTCCATACATGGAATATATCTGCCTACATTGACCCTGGGTCAACCACCTGATCGCGGCGTCGAGGTGCTGTGATGCGCATCGAGGGGATCAGCCAGCCCAAGCGCCGGCGCGGGGCTCCACCGGTGACAGTTGGATGGAAACCATGGAAAAGCTGCCTAGAAAGGAGGGGTATTTATTTTTGTTTGTTTTTTGTTTCTTTTTTGGATTTTTTTTTGTTTTTCGTGGCTTCTGGCTTCTGGCTTCTGTGGCTTCTGGCTTTTGTGGCTTTTGGCTTCTGTGGCTTCTGTATCTGTCTATACCTATCTATTTATCTATCTTTCTTTCTTTCTTTTGGCAGCTGTTCTCCTTTCTCTTTTTGTATTTGCTTTTCCTGTTGTTTTCGTTGCAGAGACGAAACAAGCAAGCAAGCAAGCAAGCACGAGCTGCTCACCTTTGGATCTGGTGTGCTGCTGGGGGGGG